AGGGGTCAGTGCAGGGCTGGTCTGTGTCGTGATTCTCAGTCTGTTCCTGCCCGGGGCTGTGGGGGTCTCTGAACGCTGGGTCTGACCCCACTCCCGTCCGTGCCCACTCAGGCCGTCCACACTGGTGCTGCTCTCTTCCTGGGCACACAGGATGGTTTCCAGTTGCATAATAAAGCAGCTAGCGTTTATTAAGCTCTTAAGACCGGCGCTGTCCTAAGCCCTTTCCTTGCCTTAATTCAGCAGAAGACAACATACTCTAAAATCAAAACACAAGAAGTGAAAGTGAAGTAAAGCTGGGCATGGGTGGCTCACACCTGTAATCCTAGCTACTTGGGAGGCTGAGATCTGAGGATCGAGGTTCAAAGCCAGCCTGGGCAGGAAAGTCTGTGAGACTCTTCTCTCCAATGAACCACCAGAAAACTGGAAGTGGCACTGTGGCTCAACGTGGTAGAGCGCTTGCCTTGAGTGAAAAAGCTCAGAGACAGTGCCCAGGCCCTAAGTTCAAGCTCCAATACTGGCACACATAATCTAACTTAAGTGTGTGTGTGTGTGAGAGAGGGGGGGGGAGGAGAGAAGGGCCTTTGGAGGCTCACCTGAACAAGCACAGGTGAGTTAAACAATAGGCTCTATTTATAGGAACTTTCCTTTCTTTAGACTTTATTTTTGTCGACTTGAAAAATAATACTCCCCGCCCCCAAATCAAAGTACAGAAGTATCCAGGAAGGAAAAAAAAAATCACCTGAACTCAGTTTTCTCTCCCCGAATGAAGGAGGCTCTTGCTGTGATTGATCTCTCCAGTGGGCTCTGGGAGGCTGTGGGCATGCGAGTGCGAATATGGCGGTGTTGTTCTCAACCCGCATCTTCCTCCTCATGGGCTAAGACAGCTGCTCCCGATCCTGCCCTTACCTTTGTATTCCTGCCAGCAGGGAAAGGGGAAATGGGAAGAGGAGCACTTCCTCCTTCCTGTTTATACACGGCACAGAAGTTGCTGGTGTTATTCTGAATCACATCGATGTTAGACTCCGGGTGGCCATGACCCAGTGGCAAGTCAGGGGAGGCTCTAAGCCTAGGAGCGACACAGGCGTCACAGCAAGCTGTAAGCTGCCGTTTGACCCCTGGAGCCCGTTATGGACCCAGCCCGGGCCCCTCGCAGGTTCCACGAGCAGGTTTCTCTCCCAGGGCAGGTCCAGCGCCCAGTGCTTGGCCAGGGATTGCTAGGCCAGAGCCAGAGTGCCAGCCACACACGCTCAGCGCTCGCTGCACGGCCTCCTGGACTTCAGTCTTGTGGTCATCGTAGGAGATGCAGGAGAGGCTCCATTGCACACCCAGAGCCACAAAACACAGCCAGACAGAAGACACAACGCCCAGTCCCGCTGCTGCTCACCCTTGAAGCAGCAATGCTGTCCGACTCTGTGAGTTAAGTCACACCCTGATGTGTGTGTGTGTGTGTGTGAGAGAGAGAGAGAGAATGATGGGAGAAAGGGCTTAAGCTTTTCAAGGTGGTAGAGCTTTAATCTGGTGACTCAGTTTCCCCATCTGGTGCTAGCCTTGGATGAAGGTTTCTTTGAGCAGTCCACACCCTTCTAGACTCATAATCTGTGGCTCAGAAAACCAGGCAATGCGCAGCTTCAGTGGCCCTGGGTGCAAGTCTTGTGCCACTCACTGGCTGGGTAACGAGGCACGATACCTAACCCCTCGGTTTCTTAGTTTCCTCCCCTCCCCTCCCCCTCCTCCTCTCCCCTCCTCCCCCTTCCCCTCCCCCCTCCCCCTCCCCTCCCTCTTCCCCTCCCCCTCCTTATACTGGAATTTAAACCAGGCCTGGCACTCTCTGCTACTTGAGCCAGGCCACCGGCTAGCCTGGAATCTTCCTGGCCTCAAGTGCTGGGATTACAGATGTGTGTGACCCTGCTGGGCTTTTTCTCCGGAGTGATGAGAATTAAATCAGGCAGCTTTGTGTGGGGCCAGGGCCTGCAGGGAGGGCAGCGCCCGGCCCAGGGTGGCCCAGGAAGCGGGGCCTGCCCAGCCTTCTCAAGCCCAAGAGCTGATGGCTGCCACAGCCGGCCTCAGAGCGGTGAGCAGGGCGGAAGCTGGCCCGCAAGCCCCGGCAGCGCGGCAGCCGCAGCACCCGTCCGCCCGCCCGCCCATCCGTCCGTCTGTCCTCAGGGCAGTCCTGCTGGCCTGATGCTTCCAGCTTTCCAGGGCCACGCGTGCAAGCCCAGCATTTACCCAGGAGCGGGCCAGGAGCCGGAGCCACTTAGCCGGGCTTGGGGGCTGCGTTCTGGGGGACCCTGGCTGGATCACCCCTCGCCCTCTGCTGCACAGGGTGGGAAGCTTGCAGCTGGTGGCTGTCACGATGTCCACAGAACGACCCAAGCACAGGGGCCCTCCCACAGCACTGCGCCCTTGGTTTTCTACTGTTGCTCCTGGGCAGTGGCCTCGAATAGGACAGTGGTGCTGGGCGCTGGTAGTCACGCCTGTAATCCCAGCTACTCGGGAAGCTGAGATCTGAGGATCGCAGTTTAAAGCCAGCTGGGAGGAAAGTCTGTGAGACTCTTACCACCAATAAACCACCAGAAAACCGGAAGTGGCACTGTGGCTCAAAGTGGTAGAGTGCTAGCCTTGAGTGAAGGAGCTCAGAACAGTGCCCAGGCCCTGAGTTCAAGCCCCACGAAGGAAGGAAGGAAGGAAGGAAAAAGAAAGAAAGAAGGAAGGAAGGAAAGAAGGAAGGAAAGAAGGAAGGAAAGAGAGAAAAAGAAAAGAAATGAGAGTGGGTCTCCTGGGCCCAGCATCCCACAGCACCGCGTGTGCAGGGCTGGTCCGGGCTCTGGGAGGATCCTCTGGGCTGGTCAGGCTGGTGACAGAAGCCAGACCCTTTCCAGCCATCACCGGCCACTGCCCTCCACGCCTGCGGGCTCCTCACTCTCTGTGCTTGGACCCCGACTCTTCCTTCAGCCCCGGGCAGCCAAGGCTGGGCACCGAGCCCCTCTCCCCTTCCACCCCCCGACCTCTGCCCCCTCTGCCTCGTCCGGTGGGATCCTCACCTGGTGAGGCTGCGCCCACCCCTGCGGCCAGCGACCTTCGAGCCACTTGACAAAGTCCTTTGTGTCTGCCAAGCACCTTGTCCCCGCTTTCCAGGAACCAGGGCGTGGGTGTCCCCATTGCACCTTCAGGGTGGGGTGCTGGGCTGAGCCCCGGGAAGGGCAGGGATTCAGGGTGAATAGCTCAGCTCCCAGCCTCCTTCAGGGACCTGAGATGTGCGGCCCGAGGGAGATGCCTGGCACGGGAAAGGGGACCAGGGCAAGGCCGAACCCAGACAGACGCAGGGCTCCTGGCAGAGCAGAGCCTGCTTAAGCAGAGCCACGGGGGAAGTGGGGGGGGTCTCCAGACAGCCCCAAGTCCCCCTCAGGCCACCACCCCACAAAAGGCAAGGGAAGGCTCCTGGGACCCTGCCCTGAGGAACAAGACCAGAGCAGCTGCAGGACTGCGGCCCCTTTCCTGTCTGTCCCCTGGGGCTCTCAAGTCCTGCAGGGGAGAGGAGCCACGGGCACATTTCTGCCCCGGTTACCCGCTCCCCTTCCTCCCCCCGCCCCCACCTGGCACAGGGGCTTCTGTCCCCTTCAGGCTCACCCCCAAATACTCACAATTCCACAAAGCCCCCCCCCCCACCTTCTGAATAGCTGCCATTCCAGATGCCTACTACCAAGCCTGGCCTCTGATTCTCCTCCCTCCCTCCGTCCCTCCCTCCCTCCCTTCCTTCCTTCCCTCCTCCCCTCTGTCGTCCTCCTCCCTCTCTTCCTTTTTTATTTTTTTGTTGTTGGTCATGGGGCTTGAACTCTGGGCCTGGGCACTGTCCCTCAGCTTTTCAGCTCAAGGCTAGCGCTCTACCACTTGAACCACAGCACTACTTCAGGTTTTCTGGTGGTTAATCAGAAATAAGAGTCTCATGGACTTTTCTGTCCAGGCTGGCTTTGAACCACGATCCTCAGATCTCAGCCTCCTGAGTAGAGAGGAGTACAGGCGTGAGCCACCAGCGCCCAGCAGTGCTTTGATTTTTAGATGAGGTCTTGTACTTTTGCCTTAAACTATGATCCTGAATAGCTGGGGTTACAAGTGTGAAGCATTGTTCTACCTGGCCTCTGATGTTCTTTTCTTTTTGGATTTGAATTCAGGGCCTTGTGCTTGCTAGGCCCCTGCCTTTTTGTGTTGGTTATTTTTTGAGGCAAGTTTTCATTTCATGTTGTGTCTGCTTGGACTATGATCCTCCTATTTGTGTTTTAGTGCACTGCTGAGGTGACAGGTGTGCACTACCTTGACAGGCCATGGGTTGAGATGAAGTCTCCTAACTTTTTGCCTGGGCTGGCCTCACAGTTTGGTCCCTCAGTCTTTGCCTCACTGGCAGCTAGGATTACAAGCTTGTCCCACAGAGCTTAGCTCACGCCTTCCCTTTCTTCTCTCTCTGTGCTATGCTACCCATGCTGGCCTTGAATTCCTGGGCTCAGGTGGTCTCAGCCTCTGGACCCACAGGCAACCACACTAGCTGAGGCATGGCTCCGGGCACTTACGTGGGTGCTTGGGTGCTGGGCTGGCTACAGGAATACCCCCAGTCTGTGGCTGGTCTGGAAACTGAAACTGGACAGACGGGGGAGGGGGGAGGGTAACTCGGGGGGAGGGTAACTCAGGGGCACCGGAGGCCTGTGTGGATATTCTCCCAAAGTGGAGGGAGAGAGGGAGGGAGGGAAGAAGAAAGGAGCAAAGAAGGAAAGGAAGGATGGGAGGGAGGGAGGAACTTCCTGGTTCTGTTCCGTTCTGAGCTCAGCCTCAACAGGAAACTGAAGATGGATGCAGAGGGAAAGCAAAAAGAATTTTATTTAAAAAATAAGACCCCCCCCCATTATGGCCACGAGTCTGTCTGGGGCTGGAACTGGGTGCCAGGGTCCTCGGTGGGCAGAGGGGCGGGGTCACCTTCCATCTGAGGTGGGCGCCCTGGTGTCACCTCTGTCTCCCTGCGGGCCCCGTGGCCTTCACAGATCATGGCTTCGCCATCCACAATGGGGCTCAGGCACGGGAGTGGGGTCCACACTAGGAACTGGAAAGCCAAGTTGCCCAGGACTCAGCCCTTCAACCTCTCTGGCTGCGGCTGTCACCTGGGGAGCCATCCGAGAGGGGCTGCCACATGCTCCCTGTGCAGCTAACGGACAAGGAAGCAGCAGCACAGAGAAGTCAAGGGCTTCTCCGAGGTCACACAGCTTGCCAGAGGCAGCTCTCACGATCCCAGGTCTTAACCCTTTAACATCGGTGAGCCTGCCTCCAACTGGAGGCTTCAAATCAGAGGTCTCAAAAGTCCAAGGACAAGGCAGGCTAGGGCTGGGGTGGGGGGTGGGGGGATGTCAGTCCCAGGTCTGGTGACACTGCTACGCTGGGGAGAGGGGAGGGTATGCCTGGCAATTCCAGGCCCTTGCTGACCCTGGGCTGTGTGCCCCCTCCCACCTCCAGGTCCCAGCTTGCAGGTGGCAGGGGTGGGGGCAGACCGGTGCCTCTGAGTGCCAACCTCCCCCCCACCCCCGACCCCAGGCCTAGGTAGTGCAGTCCAGGCTGCAGTAGTCAGCGGTGGCAAAGAGTCTGAGCACGTTGACCAGCGGGAACATGAGCAGCGCCCCCACCAGAGAGCCCAGCTGCACCGCCGCCCCGCACCACACGAGGGCGCTGTGGCTCCGGTCACGCAGGATCACGCCCAGCATCACCTTGATGTAGCTGAGAAAGGCGGTGAAGAGGACCCAGGACAGCACCTGTGGGCCCATGTGATCCAGAGAGAGAGGAGAGAGAGAGAGAGAGAGCAAGAGCGAGAGAGGAGGGAGGCTCGGCATCAGGGAGACCCTGCAGAGCTGCGGGGATCCCCCCCCCACCTCCAGGGGCACGGGAGTGTGGGTGGCTGTCCTCCCACACTAAGCTGGGGACACTGCTGCCACTCTCACGGTCAGATGGGGGCGTGTGGAGGAGTACGGGGACCGGTCACCTCCCTCCCCTGAGCCTGCGCCTCCAAAGGCTTTGGTCAGTAGGAGGAGGGGTCCCTGGCGGTGGGGGGAGAGGCAAAGGACAGGAGGAGATACTTACGATGAGGACTTCCCCTCCCCAGTGGCCCTGCAGGAGTGGGCAGGGGCTCAGCACAGCCATGGCCATGTTGTAGGCTCCAAAACCGGTGCCCAGCAGCGTGAGGGCTCCCAAGGTCAGCAGGGACCTAGGAACAGTGGAATGGAGGATGACAGAGGGACAGGGGCAGCCCCTCTGCCCCTGGGCACTGTGAATGGCCTACCCCTCTGGGGTTAAAGGTTACAGCCTCATGGAAACCCCAGGCTGCCACGCCCACAGTGGGACAGACAGATGCCTGAGGGTCAGGGTGGCAGTGGTGGGACCCAGCCTCCCAGAAAATCAGTTGCCAGGCACTGGTGGCTCACACCTGCAGTCCTAGCTACTCAGGAGGCTGAGATCTGAGGATCAGTTTGAAGCCAGCCTGGACAGGAACGTCCATGAGACTTGTTGTTAATAAACTACTAAAGAAAAATTCTTTTTTTTTGGGTCCGGTCGTGGGGCCTGAACTCTGGGCCTGGGTGCTGTCCCTCAGCTCTTTACCTCAAGGCTAGTGCTCTACCACTTGAGCCACAGTGCCACTTCTGGCTTTTTTCTTTTTGTTTATGTGGTGCTGAGGAATTGAACCCAGGGCCTCATGCATGCAAGGCAAGCACTCTACCACTGAGCCACCTTCCCAGCCCCCTAAAGAAAAATTCTTAAAAAAGGAAGTGGTGCAGTGGCTCAAGCAATAGAGCGCCAGGTTTGAGCTGAAGAGCTGAGGGACAGCGCCCAGGCCCAGAGTTCAGGCCCCATGACTGACGGAAAAAAAAAAAAAAGCTGGAAGTGGAGCTGTAGCTCAAGTAGTAGAGTACCAGCCTTGAGAAGAAAAAAGAAAAAAAAGCTCAGGGACAGTGCCAAGGCCCTGAGTTTAAGGTTTAGGAGCTGCACGTGTACGCGTGCACACACACACACAGACACACAGACAGACACACAAACACACACTAATACTTTTTTGCCTCATTCTTCAAGCAGGCCTCATGTGTTTGCTGGGTGTGGTGGGGGGGAGATCCTGATCCGCCTACCACAGCTTCCTTTGTGACTGGAATGGCAGGTGTGTGCAACCACATTCGGCAGAGAAAACATACCCAAACCAGCCCCCATGCAGCCAGACCAGGGGATGGGGGAGGACTTCTGGGGTGTGGAGTTCTGGAATGAAGTGTTCCCCCATCCCCTGGGGTTCCTAGGGCCAAGCGAGGATACCTGGTCGGCAGGAATATGGACAGGAAGCAGGCGAGAGGGCTGGCCACGGAGCTGAGGGTGGCAGCCAGGTGGTAGGCCACCGGCCCGTAGGGCAGGCAGGAGTAAGTCTGCACGGAGGGCAACACGCCGTTGGTGAGCGCATTCACGAAGGCCACCACGGTGTAGATGAAGGCCAGCTGGGCCGGGCGGAGGAGGGCTGCTTTCTGCTCCAGGGGCTCCCCGCCTTTGCTGCTGTCTCCAGGGCCTGGAGACCCCAAGTCCACCTCTTCTCGCGGTCGGATGGAGTGGAGGGTGATCTGGGATTGCAGGAGGTCCTCTATGGAGCCGTGCCGGCCGCCGGGCTGCCGCTGCAGGAGGAGGAAAGCCACGAGGCAGCACAGCATCATGAAGGACAGCAGCAGGAAGAAGACCAGGGGCGAGAAGCGGGCGGGCAGGTAGCGGCTCTCCAGGCGGAATGATGGAGAGGGGCCGCCGGGGCCCTGGGGGAGAGAGCAAGGCAGGGGTCAGTCCCGTCCCTGGGGAGGAGGAGGAAGGCAGGGCCATGGCAATTGCAAGGGTGACCGAGTACACCATTGGTGAGTAGCAGATTCCCCAACAAAACCTGCCTCAGCCATGCTGGGGAGGAACATCGTTAGGCGCGCACCCGTGGTCCTCATGCTGTGCATCCCGGGGCTCATGGCCCTAAATCCCACTGCACGAAGCCAGGACAGGCCGCCTTCCTGCCTCCCTTAGTCATGTCAAACGGGTTATTCTGAGACACCATAAGGAGAGGGGCAGCTCTGTAAAGATGCCCGTGTGAGTGGGAAGTGACCGGTAAGGAAGGAAAGGCATCTGCACCAGCAAGAGCAACATGACAGCCTTTATCACCAGAGAGTCTTTTCCTTTCCTTTTTTTTTTGTTGGTTGTGGGGCTTGAACTCTGGGCCTGAGTGCTATCCCTCAGCTCTTCAGCTGGAAGCAAGTACTCTACCACTTAAGCCATAACGCCACTTCCAGTTTTCTGGTGGTTTATTGGAGAGAGGAATCTCAAGGACTTTCTTGCCCTGGCTGGCTTTGAACCCTGATCCTCAGATCTCAGCCTCCTGAGTAGCTAGGATGACAGGCGTGAGCCACCGGCATCCAGCCACCAGAGATTCTTTATTTCCCTTTCTAACAGGCAACCTCGACTCATCTCCCCCACACACATCCACTCCCATACAGGGAGAAGGCCCAGGGCCCTGGAGCTTGCTGTGGCTCAGGGTGCTAAACTCCAATCAATCTCTTGGCTTTTTGAGTCCCTACCTAAGTAAAACAGGGTTTCTGTTCTAAATTTGCATGTGTCACTTTTGTTTTTTTTGGGTCCGGTCATGGGGCCTGAACTCTGGGCCTGGGCGCTGTCCCTCAGCTCTTCAGCTCAAGGCGAGCGCTCTACCACTTGAGCCACCACGCCACTTCTGGCTTTTTTCTTTTTGCTTATGTGGTGCTGAGGAATCTAACCCAGGCCTCATGCATGCAAGGCAAGTGCTCTACCACTGAGCCACCTTCCCAGCCCCCATCCCTGAGCTCTTTTACTCAAGGCTAGTGCTCTACCCCTTTGAACCACAGCTCCACTTCCTGTTTTCTGGTGGTTAAATGGAGATAAGAGTCTCATGGACTTTTCCTGCCTGGGCTGGCTTTGAACCCTGGTCCTCAGATCTCAGCCTCCTGAATAGCTAGGATTACAGGGGTGAGCCATAGCACCCGACTTCCTTCTGTTCTTAATCTATGTGCATCATGGATCTGTAGCCTCATCAAAATAAAAGGTTGTCTGGGATCAGGCACAGTGGCCCCGGTCCTGCCGGTACCTGGGTGATGCGAGTCTCTCTGGTGGTCCCAGGACTCAGGGTGGCATCAGCGGTGACGTTGACACAGGTGCTGATACCTGAGCCTTGGATGAGAGCCACGAGCGCAGGCAGGAGGCCGCTGAAGCCTTCGCCCACGAAGAAGGTGGTGAGGTAGTAGGTAGGCAGGCGGCTCATAAAGGGCAAGAAGGTGACGGAGGAGGTGCAGTCCACCAGGGCCAGGAAGAAGGTGAGGATGATGAAAGCGATGCTGTGGCGGCCGCCCATCACCCAGGACGTCATGTTCCACAGGAAGGCGAAGAGGATGCAGGAGATGGTCCCCACGCCCAGGATGGCGAAGATGATGGGGACCTCGGACAGGCAGCCGGGCCGGAAGCGGTGCAGCACGGTGACGAGGAGGGGCCCAACGTTGGCCAACTGGATGACCACCGTGAGGTAGGAGGGCAGGTACCAGCCTTCAGGCAGCTCCGTCACCAGCAGCGGCAGCTCCACCCAGAGCCCATTGATGGCCACCCAGGAGCCCATCCCGAAGACACAGACCAGCAGGTGGACATGGAGGGCCATGGCGCCTGTGCCTCGGGCCGGGGGCCACCGTCGTGCAGATCAGCCTGCAGGAGAACGGCGGGGAAGGACATCAGGGAGAAAGTTCAGGTGAATCATCCATCAAGAAACTATAGGGCCCAGGGAATTTTATTCCCAGGAGCCAACTGGCTTTTTATTAGCAGAAAATGGGGATACATTCCTTTGCCTGCGACTAACCTTTCTAAGTGTGACTCATCAATCCAGGGGCTGCAGAGGGACAGCTCAGTGCTCTGAACCGCACACTTGGGAGAACACACAAAAGCCAACATGGAAGCACATAACAACCCTCCCCCCCCCCCCAAAGTCAAGAAATGGAAATGACAACCTGGGAGGTATTTGTAGTGTAAATCACTGACAAACAGGCTTATTTTCAAGTGGCTCTGTGGCTCAAGGAGTAGAGCACTATCCTTGAGCAAGAGAAGCTCAGGAATAATACTCATGCCTTGAGTTCAAGCCCTAGGCTTATTTCCCTGATTTGTAAGGAGTTTGTCTGGGTACAGATTACACTTGTAATCCTAGCTACTCAAGAAGCTGAGATCTGAGGATTTTAGTTTGAAGCCGGTCCCAGTAGAAAAGTCCTTAGACCCTTATCTCCAATAATCACCAAAAAGCAGGAAGTGGAGGTATGGCTCACATGGTAGAACATCACTTCAAGTGGAAAAGCTCAGAGGGACATAGCACCCAGGCCCTGAGTTCAAGCCTCAAATATTGGCACTGGTACACACGCACGCATGGGCGCGTGTACGTGTGTGCACATACACGCACACAAGCACGCGCGCACACACACACAAGATTTTATAAATCAGCAACAAAAGACCCTAGTAAAAAGTGGGCCAACAGTTTGGTATGCAGAACAGCATATGAACAGTTTAGAAGAAAAAGCATAAATAAAATTTTCACATATACCTCTCTTCACTATGGGAAAGTGACTCCAAGATGTCATTTCTCATCACAAGTTTGTCCCAAAGACAAAGGTTAGCTGCCATTTGATGTCTAAAGTTATTATTATTTTATTATCATTGCAATAGTAAAATACAAGAAACAACCCAAGTAGCTATCAACAGTGGAGGAGCTAGCAGAGGGACTCAGCTACTGTTGAAATACTATATACCCCATTACAGGACTCAGGCTGGGGAAAGGGGCTAATCTCTGGCTGAGAAGGAGCAGTCTCCAGGCTCTACTGTAAGGGAACAAGCAAATGGAGACAGACAGAGAAGCTACTCTTCATTATAGCAATCTGGACCCTTGACCTGCTGGGAGGTTGGTGACCTCTGTGTATGTGTGTGTGTGTAATGGTACTGAAATTTGAACTCAAGGCCTTGCTAGGATTGCTTGCTCACAGCTGGCGCTCTTCCACTTGAACCATGCCTTCAGTGCAGCTTTTTGCTTGGTAATTGGAGATTCTCACAGATCTTTCTGCCCAGGCTGGCTTCAGGCCAAGATCCTCAGATCTGATCCTCCTGAATAGCTGGGCATGAGCCACTTTGTCTCCTGGCCTCAGTGTATGTCTTACCTTTAAAAAAACCCACTTTTTATTTATGAAGCAAGGAACATATTACCTAACTACAGGGACATTGTTACTTGAAATACATTTTCAATCTGGTGTGTTTTTTTTTGTTTTTGTTTTGGTTTTTGGTGCTGGTCCTGGGGCTTGAACTCAGGGCCTGGGGCCTATCCCTGAGCTTTATTGCTCAAAACTAGTGTTTTATCACTTGAGCCACAGCTCTACTTCTGGTCTTTTGTTGGTTAATTGGAGATAAGAGTCTCTCAGAGTTTCTGGCCCTAGGCTGGCTTTGAACCATGATCCTCAGATCTAAGCCTCCTGAGTAGCTAGGATGACAGGTGTGAGCCACCGGTGCCCAGTTCAGTATGTTTTTATTTTTCCCCTTCATGAAACTACAGAATTCTCTAGGGGCCAGGCCTTCAGAGACCACCTACTCCAGCCCCGTGGACCAGTGTCAGCCCACCTGAGCTGCTTCTACCAGCTCTCCCAAGTAGTCAGGCTTGAATGGTGGCTCTGCAGGCTGAACTGGCCCTGCCATTGCTGGCTGGGCAGCCAGCTGGTCGTGGGCAGCCCTCTTTGCTCTTCTTACCCTCTGACACTCTAGGGTGCACACACTGAGCCCTGGCTCACACAGCGCATGCGGGAGGGCTGGCTGATTGTTGGCAAGTCTCAGGTGTCTTGGCAGTTTGTTTCTAATTCACAGGAAAATTAAGTTGATGTTGTTATAAATATGCTCTCCAAGAACCATCCGAGTCACAATAATAGGAAAATAATTGTCCCAGTAAGGCAAAATGCACTTCTGCTCAGAAGGGCGCGCCATCAGCTGGAAATCTGGTAAGCAAGCACACTGGACAGGCAGTCGGCTCAGGGATTTATTCCTAATGCCGCAGCCCCGCCCACCTGCTCAGCTCTGCTCAGGACTGGCTAGTTTGAATGGGGTAAAATGTATTTACATAGTGTTTTGAAATAAGATTAACAGTCCACAAGTAATCCCAAATATACCCACACCCTCTGCTATTTCTTGAACAGGCTAAGGTGTGTCCTAATTCCATCTTGGAAAATAAACCACTTTAAGAGAAATCTTTACATTTTACAAGAAATTTTTCTCATAAAGGCAGTTCCTCTTTTCCTTAACAAAGGCCAAGCCACCAGGCCAAAGCAAGAACTTTTTTTTTTTTTTTTTTTTTTGCTGGTCTTGGGGCCTGAACTCTGTTCCTCAGCTTTTCAGCTCAAGGTGAACACTCTACCACTTGAGTCACAGCGCCACTTCCGGCTTTTTCTGCTTATATGGTGGTGAGGAATTGAACCCAGGGCCCCATGCATGCAAAAGCAAGCCCTCTACCACTGAGCCACCTTCCCAGCTCCCAAAGCAGGAACTTTTTTTTTTGGGGGGGGGGTCTGGTCGTGGGGCCTGAACTCTGGGCCTGGGTGCTGTCCCTCAGCTCTTCAGCTCAAGGCTAGCGCTCTACCACTTGGGCTTTTTTCTTTTTGCTTATGTGGTGCTGAGGAATAGAACCCAGGGCCTCAGGCATGCAAGGCAAGCACTCTACCACTGAGCCACCTTCCCAGCCCCCAAAGCAGGAACTTTTAAGCAGCACATGTTGAAAGAAAAGACAGCCAAGGCACTTGTGGCTCACGTCTGTAATCCCAGCTACTCAGGAGGCTGAGATGTGAGGATCAGAGGTTGAAGCCAGCTGGGACAGGAAAGTCCTTGAGACTCTTCTCTCCAAGTAACCACCAGAAAACCAGAAGTGGTGCTGTGGTTCAAAGTGTAGCATGCTAGCCTTGAGTGAAAAAGTTCAGGGACAGTGCCCAAGCCCTGAGTTCAAGTGCCACATCCAACAAAAGCAGCAAAAAGAAAAGACAGTTTTTCTCACAATGATTAATAAAACTAGAACAGAAACATCTCCCCCCTCCAGGAGGTTCTGGCTGGAGTCATCTTTGGTCAGGCTCCAGCACTGAGAGACATGTCACCCACCAAGCTCTTCCTGACACAGAGGGAGCCAGGCCCAGGAACGTGCCAGGTGGAGACTGGACGGGTCCCTGTGCGATCGTCCCGCAGGCTTGACTCTCTCCTGCCTTTTCCTTTTTAAATTTGTTTTTTATTTTTGGAGACCAGATCTCCCTAAGTAACCCAGGCTGACCTTGAACTTGAGATCCTCCTGCCTCAGCTTCTTGGGGATTACAGGTGTGTACGACCATGCCCGGATGGTCCCTCCTTTTCCGGTACCTTCAGGAGAGAGTCCAGGTGGCCACGCCTCACCACAGCACCTCCCACACCCTGGCCACATCCTCTCCTACGTCCCACACACAGAACTTCCTGAGGACCCAGAACAGAGGTGGTCAGACCTGCTGCCAGCCTGCTCCACCGCCTCCCTGAGCAGGCAGCTGAGCGCTGTTATCTTCCAGAGCTGGCTGCCAAGGGCATCTGCCAGGTCTGGCTCCTGGGCTGCTGGAGGACCAGAGGAGAGAGGTGGACTCCCTGGGCACCCCGCATGCTCCAGCTCCAGCTGTGGTCCAGCCTGGAGCTCAATGTCCTCTACCCAAGCTTCCCGCAAGATCCCACCCAAGAAATCTTCCCAGCCCCTCACCAAAAGCTTGGGGTTTTGCTTGAGAGCGTGGATGAAAGGCGGGGCCCGGGCCTGGCAGCCTGGCGCTGGGTAGGCTGGGAGGTTTGGTTTTGTTTTGTGTTCCTTCCTCAAAGATTCGATGAAGCTCAGGATTTGTACATTGGAAACTCATTGGCCAATGCCCAGGTGGGCAGGTGGGTAAGCGAGCATGATTTTGGTTCACTCAGTGCCTGAAACCACCCGAGCCATCTCTAAGTCAGATGGTGGCATTCAAAATGCAGGGTTTCTAGTTTCTCAGGAAAACGTTTTCAAAACGTGACTACACATGCCTGCGTGCTCACGTGACATCGATGATCTCCAGGCTCTCGTTAATGTGGGCCTCCTGGGCCCCCTGAAGGGAAGGACCGTCCTTGTTCTGGTCTTCTGCATTTCCTTCATTCCTGACAACCAGAACTCGGGCAGCCTATGTGTCCTACGAGGCATGGAGACCAGACTTCCTTGGTGGCTTGTTGAGTATGCAGTTCTTAGACCCGTCCCGGCGGCGGTGAATCCCCTGGGTAACTGTATAGAGATGTATGTTCCAGGAGGCCTATGGAACCCCAAAAGTGAATGGATGGTCCGGGTATCCACCATGGCCTGGCCTAGAAAGGCAGGTCCTCTCCCAACCAGGATTTGATCAAAAACCAAAAAAATCTAGCAAAAGTAGCTGTTTAGACACACCTTAAATCTTAAGAGGAAACTTAGGAGCAAAGGTCTTCCAGAGAAATGGGGTGGAGGGGAGGGATGGATGGGGAGAGGGAGGGCGGAGCTCTTCCTGTGGGACTGGGGGCAGAAGTATAAAAGGGGAGCAGAGCCATGTCCTGGGGTGGCCGCCCATGTGGGTGTTTCTCTATTCTAAACAGCCTGGCCACGGCCAAGCCCGGAAGGAGACAGGCACCAGCTCAGCGCAGCAGGGAGCAGAGGGGCAAAAGCAGCCAAGCTGCTCAGGAGGCAATAAATGACCGACCTACCCAAGAGGAGGAAGTAAATAATTGAAGGAGACGCGGCCGTGGAAGATGGCTGTCTGGCCACCTGGAAGCTGTTGGAGTAACAGGCGCTGGGCCAGGTGTCCCGTTACACATTGACCACTGGAGCTGGAGGGAACCCCGCTGGGCTTCCAGGGTGCGTCCCAGGACCAGCGTCGCCAACCCCCTTTCCAACCCAGCCAGGTCTCTGGGTGCTGACCCCACGGCCAGCTGGGAGTTGCTGAGCGTCTCTGTTCTGGGGGTCAGGGTCATGCCCGGTGAGTTCACACCCCTTTCCCCGCCCCCAGTCATCTCTGAAGGCCTCCCGGGCTGGGGACACCGTGGGGAGTGGCCATGCCTGAGGAGGGGATGGGTGTGGGGATGCCCCTGGCGGAAGGGACCGCACGACGGCACGTGCAAAGGCCCTGATGTTTCAGAATGCTAAGGAACAGCTCAGCACCACAGGCCCTCCGGTGGTATGGGTTCGGCCTTCTGGGCAGTGGCCTTGAGTTCCCTTTCATCCACTCCCTCTGTTTTCACTGGCTGCCTGCTAGGAGCTGGGGAGCAACTCCTGCTTGCTCTCAGGAATGTGAGGCGAGTGGTCACTAAGAGAAATAGAAAATGATCAGCCAGGGCCAAGGGCTTCGAGAGAAGCAAAGCTGAGAGGCTGGAAGGGGAGGCATGAACTGTGTCTGGAGAAAGAGGGTCCAGGGTGGAGACAGCAAGTGCAAAGGCCCTGGGGCGGGGCCTCGCGGCAGTATTCCAGAAACAGATCTAAATGTTCTGAGAACAGCTAGAAGGTCACAGTGGCGAGGCCTTGGGAGGGAGAAGAGACTGGAGAGCAGAGAGTTGCCCTGACCTGCAGGCGGGAGCTTGGCTGCTCTCTCGTGTGGCCCAAAGGCCCCT